TGCATTTCACTAAATCCGTAAAATAGCACCATACCAATGTTGGAGTGTCATATCTGCATGGTAGAAGAACTGAATTGTTATCTGAGGCAAATCTGTACTAAAATTCTGGGCTGAAAGCAAAAGTGATTTTTATCTCTCTTCCTATTGATAGATTTTTATACTTTTATCGACATCAACCAATATTTAAGGGAGAGCATTTCACCAAATCCTGGCATTAGACCGATGTTGGAGTGTCATATCTACATGGTAGTGAATTAGTATCTAACACAACTTTACACCTAAATTGTGTTATTGAAAACAAATGCACTTTGCAGGAAGAAAATTGAGAAAACCTCTCTTCCTTATGATAAGTCAAACATGAACTTTAAGACTGGATTTATTTCAGAAATCTACATCAAATTGTCCCCCAGTTTGAGAGGAGAGTTCTACAAGTTACTGAGAGAGCCAGACCTGGTGTGTCACGGTGGGGCATAGGGGGATTAGCAGTGAAAATAAACCGCCTCTAGCACCTCAAATGGAGTGTGATTTGTTGTCTGTAATAGGTATCGCCTCGGGGAGCCTTCTGTCACTCCGGAAAGCTTCGGTTTGAAAGACGGGGCGTTCTCCACTGACTGGTGCCGCGGAGAATCGGGCTGCCCGCTCCCGCATAGCGGAAATCACCGGAAGATTGAAAGCCTGCTTCTGACAGGAGTCTGGTCAGCCCTTGACAGGTGGAGAGATAGGATGGAGAGCGGGATTTTGGGGCATGGGTCTCGTCTCCGAGCCGGAAAAACACGTCTCAGTATATGGTGAGAAGTGGGGCTAGCGGCGCGTGTTGTCCACTTTATAATGGATTTACTTATCCGAAATTGGGTCCTCTCTGATGATAAATAAATAGTAGAAATCGGCCTCGGGATTTTGGGCATGGGTCTCGTCTCCGAGCCGGAAAAACACGTCTCAGTATATGGTGAGAAGTGGGCTAGCGGCGCGTGTTGTCCACTTTATAATGGATTTACTTATCCGAAATTAGGTCCTCTCCGATGATAAATAAATAGTAGAAATCGGCCTCGGAATTTTGGGGCCTGGGTCTCGTCTCCGAGCAGGAAAAACACGTCTCAGTGTGGTGAGAACTCGACTAGCGACGCGTGTTGTCGACTTTATAATGGATTACTTATCCGAAATTGGGCCCCGCTCTCCGATGACGCTAGCTCGCTCTGTGCGAAAGTATGCACATTCTCTCACATCTCGGTGTAATGTAGAGTCAGACGGGCCAAATTAGGGTCACCCAGGCTCTGCTTCCCCTCCACCGATAGACGATAGTGTCCACCAGACTCCTGTGCAGGCTAAATAGCTAGTAGAAATCCGCCAAAAAAAGAATGTATAAAACTGGCCAGGGGAGTTGGTCGATCACAGAGGGTCCAATTTGTCAGCACAGATTTGGCCAAATCTCCTGGTCAGCTACATACTTTTTATATGCCGATTTCTACTACAAACGTATTTGTGCAACCTGCAAAGGCGCCTGGTGGAGACTAGAGAGACCCGGTTGTGCCCGTCATGCCAGTAAAAACCTATCTCACGCTCCATTCTCTCCGGCTTTTCTGATCGACTGGAGATAAAAGTGGGACTGGCCCAGGCAGCGGGAGGCGCCACGGCGCGATAAGTAGTTAAATCTTGTCGTTAAATCATCAAGTACCCTCTAGGTGCGTTTATTGCAAGTCCGTGCATGTCAAAACTGCGACATAATAAATTTTACACACTCACTGTCGACCGCGATTCTAGATCTGTCCTCACATGTTATTAGCATAAGTATTTAGGAGACCCGCCTCGCTCGTTAGGGTAAATAAAGGCGCACAACACCGCGTGCCCCCGTTCCTGTGAAAAACCACACACTAAGTGAAATTTGCGGGCAATTGTGAAAACGAAGAAAGTAATTATCATATATTCACACGTACCCTCCGACCAAAAAAAAACGAGGCAAATGAAACCCTACTTCTGTCTCTAACTAAAAACCATGAGTTTAACCCGAGGGAGAAAATATGGACACTTATTCTAGGGTTTCGTCTGTGTTGCAAAGTGTTTGTACGTTCCAGTTGTCCCAAACAATGGCGCGTAAGGCAGGCAGCTCAAGGGAAAATCTCTCCCCTCCTTTCTTATGCCCGACCCCACAGTAAACGCAGTAATCCCCGCCAACGAGTTATTTCAAGGTTTTTTTTTTGTCGAGGTGGGAAACGGGAGAGCTCGCATGGTACATATGGTGCAAGACAAACTGGGTAGGTCCGTTTTGTCTAACACAACAACGACAAGAGTCAACACAGATGCAGACACGGTCCAAGGCTACCACCCATATCAACACTGGACCATTCCCCGTGACCAGAATATATGGAATAGCAAAGCAACTAGTTTATGTGCAGGCAGAGGAAACAGCTAAGGGCAAAAGTGTTCAAATTATGTTGTCTGCATTTCAAATACCGTATATCAGACCTGTATACAGAACTGAAGTGGAAGAAACTTAACACCGATATTTATCGACCAAGTGGGTGGAGAGTCTTGAGGCTAGAAGTGGCCTAATAATTTCGAACGACACACGAAAGTTTCCACAGTATTAAAAATTGAGGGAAAAGCATGGTTTTCATACCTTGATGACATTGGGATGCGCCAGGGCTTGTAAGAGGGCGACTTCCTTGACGATCTTGTAGTTGGCCAGCGCAGAGCAGTCGCGGTGGTCCATGCCAGTGTCCAGACAAAGTCTCATGTCGTGTCCGGACATCGCCACCGACTTCATGGCGACGTCCAGTCCGTTATACTTATACGTCCCCTTCTGCACGACTTTGGTGTACCCAGACCCGGCGGGACCGGTAACCTTGATGTGCTCGAGCTCTCTGCAGCCGATGTACCTGGGGTGTAGTTGTTCGAGGGCCGAACCGGCGTGGGCCGTCCTGGCGGGCGCGTCCGTGTTGACAACCTGCAACAGGAGCTGCTTCTCCCGATCCCGCCTCTGAGCGTCCATGAGCCGTCGGAATTTGGGCTCCGCGGCGGCGGGCTTGTGGCGTGCCGCGGCGGCCAGCAGGTCCATGCTCTCCCTGTACTCCGCGATCTCTCTCCTCTTGTTCTCCAGTTCCGCCTGCAGCTCCCTGATGTGTGCCGTGATCCCCGCCGGTAAGGCCTGATCGCCGTCGGTGTCCGGGAGGAGAAGGTGGCCCCCGTGGTCGTGACGGGGGCTCAGCAGGGCGAGGTTGACGACGATCGCGGTCCCCACTACCGTTAGGAGCACCGTGAGGGCCCTGGTCAGACGTATCCTGCGGCCGCACGCTGCCATGTCCTCCCCACACTGGCTGTGTGTCGCTGCTCCAGACAACAACTCGCGGACCTGTTACCCTAACGACAGCCTAGTGCTCAGCGCCGTGCACACCACTTTGTGAATAGTGCCAGCGCTGCTCTGAAGCCCAGGCGCTTGTGGGGCAGTGGCAGCAGCTCGGGGAAGAATGGGGAGTGCGCACGTGACAAACAGGGACAAATACACTCTTCACCAACTCGATTAATTAGCGTGTTTTGTTCCTGTCACATCGGATTACCCCTGGGCGGTTTCCACTTCAGATCCGGCTGGTGTAGGCTCAGGGGAAAATTTGCACCAAACCGAAAAGGCGCGAGAAGATTAGCGAAATTGCCCCGGAGGTGTCGGCGGTGAATGGACCCCCGACCTGTAATGGCCACTGGTTTATTTACTCATTATCAACACGAGCTTCCCGCCCCCTGGAAGTTCATAAATCTTCCAATGGTCTCGCCCGCTGTCATCTCCCAACAGGCCAGCGCGGGGCGCTTGGACTAAAACAAAGGACAGTTGACTTTGTCCTATTGGGAGGGGTCAAATATTCAAAGCATGGAAATGGGCTGTGTGATTACTGGGACCATTGCAGAATTAATGTCAAAGCAGATTCTTTTCGCGTACGGGGGCCAATGGCATCTGGTGGCCAATTTGATGGTGCCTTGCTTCCAAGAAATTACTACAAAATAATGGTGTTCTGCATACGTTCTAGATATTGCAGTTAATAAGCAATAGGAACAATAAAAAAAAAACATTTTAACAATGGGTTTGTGACTTAAGGAAAACGAAAATTAGTCGACTTTCTTACCCTTTTTCAAGTCAAACATGGCTCACCCCGTTTTGTTTATTTAACTAACTGTCATCTACACTTATCTACAAGGCTAGCCACTTGCTTTTATGTAGTCTGAAGGTTTTAGTTCTTGTCAGGGATTCTAGATTAATTCCCATACCCGGTTTCATTTAAAAGTTGAATCTACTCCACTCTGTTTATGGGAACCCGTAGTACTAAACACCACAGTCGTCAGACCTCCCAAGTGCAGAGGGCGACCTCGCTAGTCCGTATACGCGTCTCGCTGTCAACCGAATTCGTCGCATCCTCCTGCTCTTCCAAACCCATGATACCATGCCTAGGCCTGCATCAGCCAGTAAAAACCGGTTCCTTGAGCTCAAAGTTGCGCACTAAGGGGGCCCGCACGCCCTTTTCCGTAGAGCGTAATCGGCCGTTTTAATTCTACGTAGAGCGTAGACGGACCGCTCCAATATTTTTGCGTAGAGCGTATTCGGTGTTTTAATTCTACGTAATGCGTTGCAGCCCCTTGAAATTTATCGTAAAGCTTAATCGATAGGTTTCGGATTCCGAATTCAGCGTAGAACGTTGTCTGGACCCCCCCCCCCTGCAGGCCCTCCTCTAAGGGAGCGACAACCGGGGTTGGGCCGCTTGCATTGATACTACTGCACTTATCACAGTGAACTTGATAATCTGGATATCATTGATAATGTGTCTAGTCTGAGTCCAGGACACCCAGACATTCGGCCCGGGATTCTTAAACCGAATTTTCCTCACGTTTGATGTTCTAACCATCGACACTAGCATTGCTGATGCATGATTTTGGAGTTTAGCTTTGCGGTCCATTGAAAATCTTACCAAAGAGTGATATCCAAGTACTCTCCAAGCAGATCTTATGGTGTCTGCAAGACAATATCAAATTGGCAGGGCAGTATCCAACATGTTTGGCTGGCGAAAAAAATACCACTATAAAAAAATAAACCCCGATAAAAACGCATATAACACGTCAAAAATAAGGTAAAGCCTAAATCTCTGCTTGGAGAATACTGCCCATGGAGGAAATGTAAGTTGGTTCACGATGATAACAGTGCCCTTTTCCATCTACCGACGTCAACATTGTCCTTCCGAGCCCAGGGCGGGATTCCAAGACTATCTAAATTGTATTTCTGTCTCGCCCGTCCGATTAGCCAGTCCAAGACAAGCGGGCAAATACGGATGTTACGTCAGCGTCGCTTGAAGCAATAACTGATAAATATCTGGCAATATTATGTAGAAGTCGGAACTCGGGAAATGGTGTGATGAAATTAATGATTGAAGGGTTGTTGTCATTTCACAGGTGGGCTGATGCATTTTTGGGACCCGCCGGGAGATAATACTAGTACTCAATTGTGTGCAGCCGTACATGTGATATTATAAGCAATTTTCTTCGGTGCCTGTAGATTTTCCTTCTTTTGTCGCAGTACTGTTTTGAATGGGACTAGACGGCAGCAGACACCAGAATTAGAAAGACACCAGAATCGAAGCTTAATTCGGGTGAGAGTTATTTATCTACCCAAGATGGTTAGAAAATCTCAGGTAAATTGTCCCAGTAGTCTACATCCATAGTCTGGGGTATTATGTGTCTTTACTTTACCATGAGCTCTCGGTGCTTGACGGGACCGAAGTCAGGGTCACTGGTAAGACTCCAAAACCCCCATTTGTCTGTTCTGGAGGCCACGGCAACATGTTTTAAGCCAAAAACAGTATCCACTGAGGCGCCCCAGACACGGCTAATCCCGCCCAGTGGTTTCCAATCCTCTCGCTCCTGCCTCCAGTGAGCTTTCTCTTCCCCGCCCACGAGTTGGAAGTCACTCTTTACCACTTTGTATACTGCTTTATCTTTCTTTACATTGGCGTGTTCTCAAACTCCAGTCCGCGGAAGCAATGCAGTTCTAGTCTATGCGTCGCCACCGAATATCTTCTTGACATTTTCTTAAGCTTTCTTTTCCATTTTCCTCTCATCCAGTTTTGTTGATGATGAAGATTTCATGTGCTATTTCCGTACATAAAACGCTGACCAACAAGCTTTCGATCACTCTTATGATCTTACGATCATTCTCAAGTTGAAATGACCCTAAGTCTTGTTTTTGTAGGTGTACTGATTCAACATTCAGTGATTTCCTTTTTTTTTGCTTCTTTTCGGCTATTTTGGTACCTGAAGTACTATATAACAAAACATATGTCGAGTCAAGTTTAGCCGGATGTATAACATTTGCTATTTAGCAATGCGAGTCAAGTTCAATGAATGCTGCAGGATTCTGCTCAATTAAAACGGGTGTTCTCGGTAGTCCAGAGGATCTGTAGAAAGCCGCCTGTTGATTCAACACTCTTCATCCTCCCAACATGAGATCTCGCCAGGCAAAGCCGACTTCACTTTGGCAATGATTTGGTCTAATAACTTCAAGCCTGCCTCTGGCACGGGAATTTACGGAGAGTTGTCGTAGTTCGTGGATGTACTGTCGGAGAGTTCGACCATGAGTTTTTTCGCGCGACCCCGCATTAGATTAAGGGCCTCCAGAGGATGTCAGGCCGTCCAGAATTACTTGGTGTGGCCTAAAGCGTGGACCACACAACCTCCTCCCGGTGGCCCCCTCAGCGGGCCCGCTGTGGCCCGTATCTCTCCCGCTGGGGAGCCCTGACCTTGTCAAGCGCGGGATGCCTGTCAAGATGATCCCAAATTGAGTGTGAAACATTATCCCCGCCGCCGCATAGCTCACGCAGAGAGACACTGTCACAGCCACCCACACCAAGTTAGCCTGGCTGCCAGGCCCGTGGTAGGCATAGGCACGAGTTTAGTTTAATCCTTTAATAGCAGAGAGACAGCTACCCACACCCCGTTAGCCTGGCTGCCAGGCCCGTGGTAGGCATTGGCACGAGTTAGTTTAATAGCAGAGAGACAGCCACCCACACCCCGTTAGCCTGGCTGCCAGGCCCATGGCAGGCATTGGCACGAGAGACAGCCACCCACACCCCGCTAGCTCTAGCCTGGATGCCAGCACGTTAGGACCCGAGTTAACAGGGTAACAGCCACCGTGCACCAAGACAAGAGTTTGCCTAGAACCATGCGCAAACCAGCACCACGAGAGCACGTCCATCGAGATATTAGACGTTGAACAACAACAACAACAACTGCAACAAACCGTCAGCCTGGGTGCCATACATAACCTTTTACGCTAGGGCCGATCGTGGATCAGGTACTAGTAGTCTCTGTCAGGCTTTTGAAGAGGGTGGAACAGTACAAATTGGCCATAGATAGACAGATATTGCCAGGGTATTTGGCCCGCTATTAATATATAAAGGAGTACATTCGCCGCATCCCCTCCTTTCTCAGTTGCTTCCGAACCTGGTAGAGGCCCTGTTGGCCCTGAAGCCGAGGAACTGGCCTCTGTGGACCCTGGACTGGCACTCAAGGCCACTCAAGGAAGCATGTTGGACCTGAAGCTGAGACACTAGCCTGTGTACTGTCCCTGAAACAGTCTGGCACCCAGGCTAGGCTGTTGGCCCCGGAGCCGACGAACCATGGCTTATGTGTGCCCTGGAAACAGTCTGGCACCCAGGCTAGGCTGTTGGCTCTGGCGCCGAGGAACTGGCCTATATGTGCGACCTGGAAACAGTCTGGCACCCAGGCTAACACCCGTCCGCCCCAGACAGCACCGGGTCTCCACTCAAAGGTCGCGACGTGATTGAGCGGGCCGGGAAGTATTTTTATCCCGGGAATTCCAGTTGGAAATAGCTTTAGTCTATTCACTTGCTGGTTATTAGGAGCGACGATTGATCCTGATCCCTGCTATCCTAGTCGCCAAGCAGAGGTCTGTGGGGGAAGATCGTTACCTTTCTATACATGCCCCGTTATTTCTGACACTATGTTGGTGGGTTTATAGTGACAGAAAGAAACGGGGCATGTATAGAAGATCATAGAAAGGTAACGATCTATACGTGAATATACCAGTACTTGCTCCCGAGTTGTTAGGTACTATACTCCATTCACCCGGTTAAACTTTTATCTTCCAGACAAGAGCAGGTATATAGTAGTACTAGCCTCTACCAGGCTTCAGGAAGCGGCTGGAAAGAGTAAAAAACGGCCAAATAGACAGATAATATACCAGGGTCTAGGCGAGAACAGTTTGCCGCTCTCTGGACCAACTCCCCTGGCAAAAAATTGTCATCTATTATTTGGCCAAGTTCTACTCTTTCTAGCCGCTTCCCGACGACTGGTAGAGGCTAAGTATACATAGCCAAAATATAAAAAGATGCTCATTGAGGGGCCACGGCTATCATTAGATAGCTTTATTAAGCAATGTTTAGAGTTAGATGTTCAAGGGTTAGGTGTAGAAAGTCGTACGGTGTAATGTAGCTAGCTGCCGCCGCGCCGCGTGCCTGCGAAGCTGGTGTGTTTATACGCCGAGAGGTTAATACAGATATAACGCTATCGGCCCGAACATGTGGGTAGTTCTTGTGCAGGGGGCGCGGTGTGATGATTTTTGAGAAAAGGGCGGTCACGGCAATGCGTGTTCATAAACATGTCTGTTAAAAACCAGGTGCCTTAAATCCAGCGTGAGGTTTGAGTAAACAGAGGGCTGTATATCTTTCTAATGTTGCTACAGAATCGACGGGGAGCGTGTTTTTCTTCTGTCAGGCTGACCTACTGTACAACGCACCCGCTGTCTGGGAATGTCAGGACTTCTGGATGGTCTTTACTTTTTGTCTCCCTGTTGTTACAGAGTCCTTCAGCAAATGGCTTCTGTCCTTAGTTTAAAGTAGTCTCTATCAGACTACGCTGGCTACATATATAGGTGAATTTGCCCGGGAGTTTGACTGGCCGTGCATAGAGGGAAAGAACCAACCTTTCGCGGACTGACTCCCGGACCCCTGGCCAATTTTACTAGTTTACTCTCCCTTTTGTCGAATGCCGTACTCCCGTAGAAAGGCCTGGAGGATACTTTGGACATCATCAGTAAAACTGCAGAAACAAGTCCAAGATGAGTCCTTTAATTTCTGGGTTGTACACTAAAAATCAGCCCAGGGCCCTTCCAGTAACC